CCCCAAAACCCCAAAACCCCAAAACCCCTCTTCAAAATAAATTATTGAAGTTTCTAAATGTTAGATTATTCATCCAATCAAAGCTACTCCTCTCAACTACATTCTCTGTGCCTTCCTCCACATATAACAGAACTCATATCCACACTTACAAGTGATGTGGTTGCATCCAGCCTTCTTCTGGACCCAGAACTTGCACCTGCTTCATTGCTGGAAGCTACTCTCTTTGGCAAGCTTGTAGAACATCTGGTCATTAGCACTTGCCTTTTTGATAGGGGAGAACTCTTTACAAGTCCATCCTTCATGCCAAGGTACTTTGCACCTCAAGCAATAAGTCTTTGCACAAGAAGGACATGAATGCTTACAAGAACTAGACTTTGGGCTCCATTTGAATACATATTGGCAGTCTGGGCTCGGACAGTAACGGAACATGTGAGGATTCAGCTCTACAAAATTATCAAGCTGGAATCTTAAATATTTTTGATAGATATCTTTCTCACAAATCCTTTCGATGTTAGAATCAGGGATGTGCTCGCTTCAGTCTAGGATCGGGCACCTGATGGGGAAGTCCTTCCTATCAACCGGAGTCTTGATGTACATCTGGAGACACTCTTTGTGGTAATTGTGAAGACATTCGATGAATGAAAAGTCTTCTATCTCAACTTTGGTATAACAAATCGAGAGCAAAGTTATTCCCCTAAATTGGACAATCTCTGAAATCAGAGTTATCAAGTTTCATTGGCTTAGGCTTATTGGATATCGAGCTCCAATTAAGCTTTTGAGAACTATTTAGCTCAATAGCTTGGGCGGTGCTGGAACTTGAGATAGTCATGACTTCTCTCAGATTCCGACTGCTAGGGTCATCTTTAGTCTCTCTTTGTCCATGCTTCTTGTGAGTAGGGGCCTTCTTAAAGGATCCTGACAGGATTATACTGTCCTCTTTGAGCTTGCCTTGGAAAGAAGATTCAGGTAAAAATCCATTAGAGCCGTCCTTTGAGAGAGACTTAGACTTCAGTCCAAGTCTCTGTGGCTTAACTCTACTAGAAGTACTCTTCTTGGCAGTAGAGGAGTGTCTGTCTAGTCTTTTCTCTGATGAGTAGATTGGCTTATAAATGCCATGTTTATATTTCTGGTTAATTCAGGTATATATCGACCCATAAGAATTGTCTGGTTTGGTAGGAGTCACAGAATTAGGTTCAAGCTGCTTCTTCCTTGCTTGAAAGCAAGAGAAGCTCAGAACTTCTCTAAAGCTTTTCTGAGTAAAAAGATGCTGAAAGATTTGTAGATTTTGAGTTGGCGAAGTCCCTCGGTCGGTGATTTTCTTCTGTATTTTGTCTATCATTTCTATGAATTCATGCTTCTTAAATTGCCCCTGAAATCTGGCTTAGTTCATTCCCATGAGAAACATCAGTGTCTGGCCATAGCCTGAATATCAGGAAATAATTGTGCTGAGAAAGTCAGTTTGATTAGACAACTCTGGTTTGAGGGTCATTTTCTGGTCAAGAATTTGAATTGCACTCATTCAATTTAGATTAGATTAATTGGGGTTTTGGGGTTTTGGGGTTTTGGGGTTTTGGGG